CCGCCAACTCCTGGGCTCAAGCGAGTCTCCTGCCTCTGCCTTCCAAGTACTTGGGACCACAGGTGCCTGCCACAACGCCCGGCTATTTTTTGGTTGCAGCCATCGTTGTTGTTTGGCGGGCCCAGGCTGGATTCGAACCCACCACCTTGGGTGTACGTGGCTGGCGCCTTAGCCACTTGAGCCATAGGCGCCAAGCCTAATTACTTCAACTTTAATGCAAAATATGAATCTACATATTTAAAAAGCTCAGTGAACTCTAAGTAGAATAAACACCAATAAAATCCATACCTGAACACATAGTTACACTGTTGGTTGAAAGCCAAAGTGAAAATGTTTAAAGCAGAAAGAGAAAATTACTTATTATGATCAAAGTAGACTCATCAAGTACAAGGAAACCACAGTAAATTTAACAGCTCACTTCTTATCATAAATAGTGGAGGCCAAAAGGCAATGGAATGATATATTTAAAGTAGTGAAACAAAGTGTTAATCAAGAATTCTGTACCTAGCAAAATATTCTCCAAATAATGAAGGTGAGAAATGAAATATACAGATGGAAAATAAGCATATGAAAAGATGCTGAATATCATCTGCCATTAGGGAACTGCAAATTACAACAATGGGATACTGTTCCACACCTATTAAAATAGCTAAAAGCCAAAAAACCTGATGAACTAACAAGACCAAATGCTGGCAAGGATGTGGAACTATAGGAAATTTTGTTCACTAATGATATGAGTGAAAAATGGTAAAGCTGGCTCCGCACCAGCCATACACACCAAGGCTGGAGGGTTCAAACCTGGCCTGGGCCAACTAAACAACAATGACAACTGCAACAAAAAATAGCCAGGCATTGTTACGGGTGCCTGTAGTCCCTGCTACCTGGAGGCTGAGGCAAGAGAATCACTTATGCCCAAGAGTTTGAGGTTGCTATGAGCTCTGACGCCATAGCACTCTGCTGAGGGCGACATAGTGAGACTCTGTTTCCAAAAAGAAGAAAAGAAAAGAAAAGAAAAATAGTAAAGCTATTTTGGAAGACATTTTTGCAGTTTCCTAAGAAGTTCTTTAGTCTTTCATATAATCCAGAAATTGTGCTCCTGGGTATTTACTTAATTGATTTGAAACCTCATATCCACACAAAAACTTGCAAATTTTTTATAATGTATTTATTCTTAATTACTAAAACCTGGAAACAACCAAGATGTCCTTTAATAGGTGAATAAACAAACATGGCACATCTGTACAATGGAATATTATTTAGCAAGAAAAAAGAATTTTTTTTTGGAGATAAGAGTCTTTCTGTCTCCCTGGGTAGAGCGCGGCAGCATTATAGCTCACAGCAACCTCAAGCTTCTGGGCTAAAGAGATCAATCCTTTTACCTTAGCCTCCCAAGTAGCTGGGACCATAGGGATCTGTCATGACATCCGCCTGTTTTTTCTATTTTCTTTTCTTTTTTTTTTTTAGAGGCAGAGTCTCACTTTATCGCCCTTAGTAGAGTGCCGCGGTTTTGCACAGCTCACAGCAACCTCCAACTCCTGGGCTTAGGCAATGCTCTTGCCTCAGCCTCCCAAGTAGCTGGAACTACAGGCTCCCACCAAAACACCTGGCTATTTTTTGTTGCAGTTTGGCCGGGGCCAGGTTCAAACCTGCCACCCTCGGTATATGGGGCCAGTGCCGACTGAGTCACAGGCGCCACCTGTTTTTTCTATTTTCAGTAGAGGTCTTGCTTTTGCTCAGGCTGGGCTTGAACTTCTGACCTCCAGCAATCCACTTGTCTCAACCTCCCAGAGTGTTAGGATTACAGGCATGAGCCACCACACAGCAAAAAAAAAAAAAAAA